AGTTCTTGAAGTGAATACTAGCTACTTGACGCACAGCCATGTCGCAATTATTGTCCACGATAATCTGCAGCAATCTCACGAGATGCTGAGGAGTGTACTGGAACTGCAATCAAAACACATCTCAAACTGAATTGATTATCGCAAAGGTAATAAAGAAATATTATAATTGATCAATTATTCAATCTTGAACCTGATCGAGTCTTTGCTCAGCGGCTTTGCGTTCATCGGGATTGGGACTAAGAGCGGCTTGTAGGACAACAGCGAGGCTAGGGAGATCCATATTATTATTATGATTATTATTATTATTATTATCCAACTGATCAAAGGATAAAAAATTATCGATCTTCAAGATTTTTATTTTTTTTGGTTATATATAAACCCTAGCTGGATAGGCCGTCTTCTTCTTCAGCTAGGCTTTAGGGGTGGGGTGGGGGTGGGAGGAAACGCAGAGAAGAAGAGGGAGAAAGTGTGCGTGCGTGTTCGGGTTACGCAGAGAGACAGCAAGTGAATGTTGTATTTAAATGATTAGGGTTTACGGTTGTTTAACTAATAACTACAATGAATTACGACATGCATGCGAGTTTGTTTTTACCGCTTCAAATTGTTTCAGTACATTTAATATATTAATATAAAAAATATAAAAAACATTTAAAATAAATATTATTTTTATATATTTTTAATTTAATAATATTTTAGATATGAAACACACATAACATAAAGCTAATAGAATTTTAAATTAATTTCTAATATATATAAAAAAAAAGATATTTTACATTTAATAGAATGAATAAAAATATATAAAAATAATAATATATTTTTTTGTATTTTTTAAAATTGACTTAGTTTAATTTTATCCTTTTATATTTTTAAAAAAAATTAAATTTCTATTTCTTTTTTCTTTATCTTTATATTGACTTATTTCAATTCATATATTCATAATAATTAAGTTTGTGCCTTAATCCAGAATAACTAAGATTTTATTTATTGTTATGGGACCAGTTCCTGGTTTATGACTATAATCATTAATTTTAAAAGTTAATGCAAATTTATTGTTATATAATTAAAGCAACACGAACACATTAAAAGGAATGAGTTAAATATATAAGATGTAACTATAAATTAAAATTATGTACCTAATATCATGCAATTCTAAACATTCAATTAAATACGAAAGCAATAAACAATATATATAGGATAACTAAATATTGAAATTTTAAAGAGATTACACTATGATTTATAAAGATTTGGCAAACCATCTATTCCTCTCTTTGAATTTTTATTCAAGACTTTTAATTATCATAAATCATTTTTTCAGTGGGTGAAATCAAATCATTACATAATTTTTTTGTGGGTGTGAGATCAAACTCAATCCTTTTATAAGTTTAGAATTAAATTGTTATCTTGATCTTTTTATAAGCTAAAGACCAAAAATTCTTTCATCAATACTTGTCGAAGTACATGTATTAAACCACTCACAATTTTCTCTCTATGAGACTTTCTAAAATGTTAAAAGTATCACTTGCACTTTCCTCAATATAGTATCTTAATATAGTTGATTGAAATAACAATTAAGCTCTCTAAGAAAATTTTATCAATTTACACCTAACTTTGTTTATAAATAATTATAAGTGAAACAACAACGTTATAGGTTGTTATTAAAAGAGAGAAATGCTTTTATTTTTGCCATAAAAGTTTCACACTTGTTTTAAGCAAGTAAAAAACTATTTACAGGTTTAGAAAATAAACTAACTATTGGACATAGTTTTCTACCTATTAATAAAATCAGTTATATTATTTTATAATTAGTTAGGCTGTTTTTAAAGAATCCTTATAATTTCTAGAATTTTTACAAAAATGGACTAGTTATTTTGAGAAATGATCAAAGTGTTTCTCCAAACAGTTGAACTTTCTTGGCTATTGCCTTGCTATTTTAGCTACTGTCTAGATTTTGTCTCATTTTTGTGTTTTAATTTTCTTTAGTTCTTTTATGTTTGTACAGATTGTGTGGGTATTATAAGATGTCCCAAACAGGTCTAGTATTATTTGACAAAACCCTATTACAAAGTCTTGATAAGTGAAATCAATAACAGTTATGTTTACAAATTCTTTGTTCTTAACCTTTGCATATCTTTTCCATACTTGCTTAATGATTTCTTGAATGATATAAACATGTCTAAATTATTTAGATTGTGTGGGTATTATAAGATGTCTCAAACAGGTCTAGTATTATTTGACAAAATCCTATTACAAAGTCTTGATAAGCGAAATCAATAACTGTTATGTTTACAAATTCTTTGTTCTTAACCTTTGCATATCTTTTCCATACTTGCTTAATGATTTCTTGAATAATATAAACATGTCTAAATTATTGTAATAGTATGTGTGTGCATGCGTGTATGGCATGCATTGTGTTTTATTTAACAATTAAAACAAGATTGATGTATTTGGCACACAATCATGCTACATGTAATATATGGAAATGTTATTTATTAAATTATTTAGGCATTATAAGATAACATTTAAAAGCTTTATGCAATATATAATGAGTAATCAATATAATATGTATATATCAAAACTATATCAAATCAATATTTTATTATCAATATTTATGTTATCGTCAAAATATATAATTAAATCATTATTGTAATTATAAAGCTAACAGAATGAATTTTTTTTTATCCTTTTTTAAAAATATATTTATTTCAATTTAATCCTTTAACATTTGATTTATTAAAATTAGTCTTCATACTTTTTTTTTTCTTTTTACTAGGTTATCTTAATCATATGCTCATGGTTATGGGGTTTACAGATTAACCCATGTTAACTCATATTTATTTATGCTTTTTTTAGTTAATTTTTTTTCCTTGAACATTGAATTATTCAATAATTAAGCTTTTTAACATTATTCAATTTGCTTTCAAACGCGATCATTCTATATCATGACTAGGTTAATGAGTTTACATTTTGTAAAAGATGGGTTTGGATCTATTATTTTATGTTTTTTTAATTATATTTTATTTTTTGTCCTTTAACATTTTATTTTCTCTAGATTGAGCTGCAACTTTTTTTTAATATAGATTTATAATGTTTTTTTTAGTTATTAGGAATTGATCATAAAACTTTTTTTAATATTTTTTTATAATACTATCTCAATTTTATATTCATGGCATATTATGTACTGTAATTTCTTAGATAAAGAAAAAAAAAACAAGAAATCTCGTAACCAATATGAAATTTGCTAGAAAACCTTATGTTTAGTCCATCTACTTTTCTTTTTTTCCTTTATAGTCCTTATAATTTTTGTAATTTATCGTTGGATGAAAACTTTATTTTCTTAACATTTTAGTCCTTACATTCCAGAGAAAATAAAGAAAGTCATTTGAAAATAGGCAAGGGGAGAGAGAGTCTTAATTTCGAAGACAGAAAAAATTAATTTTAATGCTAACGAGTTTCATTGAATAAAAAAAATCAATTGCTGTGTTTTTGAACCTTTCAAACCCAAGTGCATGTGCTTTTTTTCTTAGCAGGCCAGGTGTGTTAATTCATCCAATCCCAAGTGCCTAACTCCTTTTCAATTTTATTATTTTAATTTTAATTTAGATTAATTAAAATAGATTAGTTAAATAAAATTGTGGGATGCCGTACTTGGCAGGTATTCAATTTTGTCTGTAATTACTTAAAATAAATAAAGTATAAAAAGAATTTGTGATATTTTTAATAGAATAGAGTTTAATTTTTACTTGTTTTTGAACAAAGAATATAACATTTTTTTTTTATATTAGTAGCGTTGTTTTTATGAAACATTATATAATATTTATTCAACAAACTGATTCATATAAAAACGATTAATTTTTTTGTTAAATGATAGAATTTATATCACAATCCTAATTTTAAGCATCTCAACTTCATCAATTTACTCTTCCATATAAATGAGTATTTGATATTATAGTATATGGTGTTTTTAAAGATATTTTTTATTTTAAAATATATTAAAATAATTTTCTCAATTTTAAAATGCAAAGCAATTCCTTTGCCTACAGAAACGTCAAACCGCTTTCCCAATCAAGTGCATTTGAAGACAATTTTTCTGCCAAGGATCCAGGCTCCATGCACTTGTAATTTATGTTTTTCTTGAAAATATATTATAATATTTTTTAATTTTATTTTTATTTTTAATAATAGCATATCAAAATAATAATAAGAACATAAATTTAATATTTTTTTTTAAAATAAACATGTTTTTTAAAAGCGTTAAAAAAAAGGTTCCCGCACTTCCAAATGGATAAGATTGAAAAATAGAAAAATCAATTTTTTTATCCAGATACAGAGACCACATGCTTTCATTTCCTTGTGTTATACTTATTCATTAAACTTTAAGAGTTGGAACTAAATTATACGGAGAATTGAATTCAATTTCATATATAATTTAAATTTAATCAATAACTTATTATAATTTTTATATTTAAAATAAAACCTTAGATTTTTTTAGAAAAATAATATAACTTTTTTAAATATTTAATAAATAAAAAATATTTTAAAATCTCTTAACATTTATATTCTTAAAACTTTATAAAATATGTTTGAAAATTATTATCCATTATTGAAAAAAATCATTTTTTATTTAATCACGAGTTTATTTTTTTAATATTATCTCCTTGAAAACTTTAATGAAATAAATATTTATCTTGTAATTTAATATAATTTAGTCCTGATTAAGTGTAATCACAAGGTGGGTTTTTTTTTAAGTTTATATTATTATAGGGTTGTTTCAATCACAAAGTGGAGTTTTTTTATTTATTTTAAGTTTATATTATTATAGGGTTGTTTGTTAAAATATTTTTTAAATAATATTTATTATTTTTAAAATTAATTTTTGATATTATCCCATAGAAACAATTTAAATATAAAATAAAATTTATTTTTTTCTGAAAAACATTTTCCCATGACAAAACAAAAGGAGCTTATATATATATATATTCCATGAACTCGACGATAATTATTCGGGCATCTACAATCAGAAAACGGACTTCCTTTATTGGGCAGAGTCGGGACCTGTCCTTAAGAACAACCTAAAATGGCACTCAAGTTCCAAAACTGTTCAATACCACCGTGGACATGGAAACTCAACAACTACAAAACCCTAGTAACTACCCATTCTCTGTCTCTCGGTTTTCGCCACCCAACAGCCCATGCCACCATCTGCCATGGCCAGGACTACTCAACAAAACACACAACTCTTCTTGTTGACAGCTTCCATGAACACAAGAGGCTCAAGTCCCTGCTTCACAACCTTAACAACAACCAAAACCCTTTGCAACTGCTTCAACAGGATGGAGACTGGTCCAAAGAGCACTTCTGGTCTGTCATCAAACTCCTTAAACTTTCTGCAAGATCCAATCAGATTCTTCAGGTACACTCACTCGCTCATTTATTTATTTTTAGCAGCAAGGAAAATTGAATTTTCTCTCTCTCTCTCTGTCTTTCTGTTGTGGGTTTTCTGAACAGGTGTTTCATATGTGGAGGGACGTGGAGAAAACAAGAATTAATGAATTCAATTATGAGAAGATTATAGGGTTGTTAGGTGAAGAGGGTCTAATGGAAGATGCAGTTACTGCGTTTATGGAAATGAAAAGTTTTGGTCTCTGCCTTTCCTTAGAGGTTTACAATTCTATAATTCATGGCTATGCAAGAAATTGCAAGTTTGATGATGCTTTGTTTTACCTTAATCAGATGAATGAAATGAATTTGAGCCCGGAAAGCGATACTTATGATGGCTTGATTGAAGCTTATGGGAATTATAGAATGTATGATGAGATGGCTACGTGCCTGAAGAAGATGGAGCTGGATGGGTGTTCACCTGATCGCTATACTTATAATTTGCTTATCCAAAAGTTTGCGCAAGGTGGATTGCTGACAAGAATGGAAAGGGTTTATCAGTCTATGCGAACCAAAAGGATGAAGTTGCAGTCTTCGACTTTGATTTCGATGCTTGAGGCATATGCAAACTTCGGGATTGTGGAGAAGATGGAGAAGATTTTAAGGTGGGCATGGAACTCAAAAATCACTGTAAAGGAGGATTTGGTTAGGAAATTAGCTGGGGTTTATATTTCAAACTACATGTTTTCGAGACTGCACGACTTGGCTGTTGATCTTACTTCTATAACTGGCCGGACTGATATTGTTTGGTGCCTACACCTCCTTTCTCATGCCTGTCTCTTGAGTCGAAGAGGCATGGATGCTGTTGTTAGGGAGATGGAAGATGCAAAGGCTTGTTGGAATATAACAGTTGCAAACATTATCTTGCTAGCATATTTGAAGATGAAAGATTTCACCCGCTTGAGGATCTTGCTCTCTAAGTTACCAGAAAGTCGTGTGGAACCTGATATAGTCACTTTTGGTATTCTTTTTGATGCAGAAGAAATAGGTTTTGATGGAAAAGAGTGTTTAGAGATGTGGAGAAAGATGGGTCTTCTTTATAGGCGTGTAGAAATGAACACCGATCCTCTGGCTTTCTCTGCTTTCGGTAAGGGAAACTTCCTCAGAAGCTGTGAAGAGGGCTACTCTTCCCTTGAACCTAATGCCAGAGAAAAGAAAAGGTGGACATATGTCGATTTCATAAATTTAGTGACTAGCAAAGCTCAGTGAAATGCAGCGTGAAATGAATGGAAGCTGATGAAACTGAGAGTCAAGATGAGTTAGCTCATCAAGATTACATTGATTAGATCATCAATTTCTGTTCATAAGTTAAAGCGTCACTTCTATGCATAGGAAGCATGATGTGGAAAGCTGTCCATTATGACTTGTATTATTTGGTGCCAAAAAGGCCCCATGGTTTTCTTCATGAAACAATGCCTATGAGCTTAATTTTCCTTTACTGCTCTCGTTGTTACCGGCTGGCTGTCCATGCCATGTGAGAGTCAATCTGGTGCGTTTTCCTCAAACATCTTCGTTTATAGATTGGAAAGCTGGTCATGATCTCCTATTACAGTATGCTTGGAGAGGGTTATGCCATTATAGAGCTATCTTCATTTGTATGAGGAGAGGAGCATTTGCCAGGCGTGCCACCCTCTCTAGAGTTTCATTCTGCATCATGCTGGGTAAAAATCTTGAACGCTAATGCTCACAATAATCTAACGGCAGCAAACTGTTATGGGTCACGCTGGGTAACTATGCTCCATTTCCTCTACCAATTTTCCTTCATGGCAACGATTGCTAGAAAGCTCACACTTCACACTCGAAGAAGTGTGACTGAGAATTCCTTACATACCCTTCATGTTCTCCCGCCCACTCACTATAACTTCTAATTCTATCAGCAGTTTACGCTCGATTACTAGGAGTACTGTCCCACATGTTTTCTGCAATACAACGATCAATACAGTTTAGCCAGCCAGGAGACTTGGCACAGCTACAAGATGGAGAAGGTGAATCTCAACCACCAATACAGGCTAGCCACTTTGCTCATGCCCTGTACCTTTGTTGTACTTTATTCTTGAGTCAATTGCTAATTTGGGATTCACACTCGATATTGTTAGCGGGGACATGTAAAATATGCCCTGCTGTTTTGTTGGAGAAAGCAAGCATACTTGCAAAACTTGTACCATGCAATTTCATTCAAGATGCGGGATAGGTGAATCATGACACCAAGAGCTTGCTAAAGAAAGGCTCTATGCAGATCGATTAGACATTGGCTATACAAACTAGATCCTGGCCCGTACTAAGATGTGGGTCAGATATTTTTTTCTAAATCATATAAAAATGTAAAGACGACGATCAATATGTTTTTTAATTAAAAAAATTAACAATGAATTAGAAATTTGATGTATATTAAAAAATATTATTTTTAAATATTAAGATAGTGATGTATTAAATAATAATATTATTTTTAATTTTAAGATTAAATCTAATATATCTCAAAACTTTACTATTTAAGTTATATCTAAGTTATTAGAGTGCGATAATACCATCAAAAGAAAAGTGAAATAAAATAGAAAGAATAATTTTCAATAATAAAAAATATTGAAAGATAAAAAAATATCAATTTAAAAAAATAAAAATAAAAACAACTTGAATCAACGTGAATAAACCTGCTAAACTTATAAACCAATTTGGGATAATATAATTACCTCATATAAAAAAAATTAAAAAAATTTATGAATACGAACTCTAAATCAACTCATTGTTAAATAACAAAATTAGAAAAGAAATAATAAAAACAACTTGAGTCAACGTGAATAAACCTGCTAAACTCATAAACCAATTTGGGATAATATAATTACCTCATATAAAAAAAATTGAAAAAATTTATGAATACGAACTCTAAATCAACTCATTGTTAAATAACAAAATTAGAAAAGAAATAATTTAAAAAGAATATAAGTTGATTCAACCCCACAAACCTGTAACCAAGATAATTTAATAGAAAACAAATAAGAAAAATCACAAAGTCCAATTCTCAATCAACTAAACCTATGACCTGAATTATCAGAGCAAGTTTACACCATAAAAAACAAATTGAAAAAAAAATTATGAAGCTTAAATCTTAACCAATTTTTTATTGAAGAATAAAATCAAAAAAGAAATATTTTTTTAAATGAAAAAACAATAATTTGAGTCATCTCGAATTATCCTGATCCGAGATATGAGATCAAAATAACTTCATAGAAAATAAATTAAAAAAAAATCATGAAACTTAATCCTCAACCAGCTATACTCGTGACTTGAGTCATGAAAATGAGATTATCCTTCATGAAACTCAATCCTCAACCAACTATACTCATGACTTGAGTCATGAAAATGAGATTATCCTATAAAAAACAAATCAAAAGAAATTATAAAGCTCAACTCTAAATCAACCCATTGTTAAAGGATAAAATTAGAAAATAAATAATTTTAAAAAGAGCAAAAAAAATATGAGACATCCTAAGTTAACATAACAAACTCATGACCTGGGTCATGAGACTAGGATAATATAATAGAAAGAAAATAAAAAAAAATCACAAAAACCAAATCCCAACCAACTAAACCCGTAATTAGAGTCCTGAAAACATGATTACCTCATATAAAAAATTACAAAGCCTAGCTTCAAACCAATTCATTTTTGAAGAATTAAATTAAAAAATAAATAATTAAAAATAAAATAAAATAAAAAAGCAAGTCAATCCATGTTAATATGGAAAACTTGTGACAAGGATCATGAAATCATAATAACTTAATAGATAGAAGAAGAAAAAAATCACGAAGCCCAATTTCTAACCCATTAAATGTTGAAGGCTAAAATTGAAAAGAGATCGAATTAAAAAAAAAACCCAAAAAAAAAAGAGAAGAAGAAAGAAAGAAAGAAAAAGGATAGTGTTAGCAAAATAAAAAAAAATTATGAAGGATAATTTCTAATCAATCCAATGTTGAATGATAAAATTTAAAAAAATAAAAAATATAAAAAAGTGAGAAAATCTCAACTCAAGTTATAAGATTGTAATAACCCTATAGAAAGCAAACCAAAAAACAATGAAGCCTCACTTCTAAAAAGTTTAATGTTGAAGGTTGAAATCAAAAAAATAAAATTCCTTGAGACCTACATATAACTCAATATAAGTAATATATAAAATAACATGAAGCATAATTTCTAAAATAACATAACGTTGAAGATGAAATTGAAAAAAATAAAGAAATTATTGTTGAATAATAAAAGTAAAAAATCCTTCAAAATAATATTTTAATTAATAGTGTTTTATAAGTATGGTTACATTGATTTGTTCACATATAATTATGCAAGTAAACTTTTGTATTCAGTTTGAGTATGGTTACATTGATTTGTTCACATATGATTATGATTATGCAAGTAAACTTTTGTATTCAGTTTTGTAAAGGTGAATTAAGTAGTTTAAAATTTAATGCAAGGACTGTTGATGTCATAATCATTGTTATCTCTTCTAACAATCTCTTTGAAGTTCATAGATCTTCAAAACCCACGTCTAGATATGTGAAGACAACATTACATAACTAAAAAAATATTTTTTTATTGCTAAAAAATTACATTAGAAAAAAAAATTATATTAAAAATGTTAATGGAATGGAAGTCAGATAACAACATATAAGATTTATTTTTTGTAAGATAATATTAATAAATTAAAGTGTGCTTTTATTTCAATGGAGTCAACTAAGAGATCATTTTAAATGGATGACTATAGTTAAGGCATGGCTGAGATATTTAAGATTAGTAGATAAATAATCAATATTTTTAAATAATATATATATTTTAAATTTTAAAACTAATTATTTTACAAAAGTGATTAGAAGGAAAAATTTTGGTGGGAAGCTTCAAACCCTAGGGTTACTAGTGAGTCTAGGAAAACAATAGTGCAGCTAGATAAATTTTAATATGTGAAATAATTTTTAAAAATTTTATAATATTAGTTTTTATTATATTTTTTTGTTTAATGCATTTATAAACTAGATTATGTGATTTCTAGTATGACATAAACATCTATGCTAAGAGAATAATCGAGTTAAATAACTTTAAGGTATGAAAGAATTTTATATATCCTCACATCACTAAGAGTAATTAAGAGAGATATTTAGAATTTTTGATGTTAAAGGGTTTTAAAAAGCGGTCATGAAGTGGTTCATCAAACGAAAACAAGAAGACTCACGGTTCTATTTGCAAATATACTGACAAATTGCTTTGTTTCATTAATTATGCAAAATACCTGGTAAGAGCTTGTTTTATTTTGAAGTATTTTTCTTAAAATGTTAGTGATCATTAGTGAGAAAGTCTAGCTGATGATTGATTTTACAGGTTACACAACTTGGACATGAGCTAACCTTAATAGAGTTATATATGGAAACACATATACGAAAAGAGGATAAATAGAAAAGAGCGCAATAGTTCGTAAATAACCAAGTCAAGGCATAAGTAAATTTTGAAACCTTTTAAGTATTTTTTTAAACAAGTATTTTTTTATCAACATCTTTGACTTGCTTTTTTTATAAAACATACAACGCCAACATGCATGACAAACACAAACAGAACCCTTCAATCTATATGAAATGACATAATATTTTTTTTATCGACATCTTTGACTTGATTTTTTTATAAAACATACAATGCCAACATGCATGACAAACACAAATAGAACCCTTCAATCTATATGAAATGACATAAAGTTATGGTTGGAGGCTAGAGCAACAAGTGCACTTAATAGGAATTGAGTTTACAGCATATCTATAACTATGACTTGAGATATGAGGGCGAGCTGTAGTGTCTCAGCGATAGGCACCCTATAGTCTAGCTCGAGTAAGCCATGTGTAGCCATTTAGGAGTTAGTTTAAGAACAAATTATGGCCAATCTAAAAGCTGAATTGGAGGCGTGTTGAAAATAATGCAGTAGAAAGTAATGGAAGCAAATGATGTCATATATGACGACTCATTATCCTCCTTTTTATAGACCTCAAGAAGATTACCCCCTTCCCCTTCAACTCCAACTTCTTTCTAATGTATAATAACATTTGTAATTGATTTTATAATTAAATTAATAATATATAATATGTTATTCAGTTTAATCTAATTGTTTAATATCAAATTGTTTAATCCAAATAACCATGTATTGAAAAAAAAAACAAATTATTGCAATACAAACAAAATCATTAATGAACATAAAATTTTTATCAGTTATATAGACTCATTTTCCTTGAAGAATTAAAAATAGTTGTGAATTGTTTTGATATAGACTTATGAATTCACTAACAAGATTTTTATGTTGGTGATTTTGTCAGGGGATTCGTCGGTGATACACAATCCATTACTAATGGGTATTCCATTAGTAATATTTACAGATGGATTGACAAATGATTCGTTGGTGATACACGATCCATTACTGATGGGTATTCCATTAGTAATATTTACAGATGGATTGACAAATAAAAAAATAATCACCAACTTAATTTTTGTAACGTGGATATTCAATCGATATTTTTATCGGTAAGTAAATTAATTGACTAAATTACCAATGAACCTAATATTCCTAATGAAAAACTCATCGATAACAAGCTTTCATCAGGGAATCTATTTTTTATTTATATATTGATGGAAATATAGCTAAAACACCAACAAAATATCATTGTTTTTTTTGCAATATTAAAAAAATTTTAAAAAGCATTAATTGAAAAAAAAAAATCATGCTTTGCGTGGCCTGACAAGTCAAGTCAGTCTCTCTAGCCCATTTCATTAGAGCTCTTACGACTGAGCTTTTTTTTTTAACAACACCTTGGGTAAACGACATGTTGTCTGTCTTATTTTTTTGAAAAAACAATTAGACAATGTGTCATCTACCGAGGCAAACAATGCGTTATATGTTTTGCCCAGATTCGGGCCACTCAAATCAGACTTAAGGTTCTTTCAACTCAAAAATCCGTTTTCAACCTGTTTTTAACCCAAAACATCTTAGAAATCATGATAAATTTATTCATGACTTAAAAAACCACCCAAAAAACTGAACTCAACTTGAAACCAAAAATCATCT